GGAGGGAAATGCTGTTGCTTGAGTGCAGCCCAGAGGTGAGTCTTGGGTCCTTTGTGTACAGCAGGAGAGAGTTGCCTGATGTGTCTTCTCGGGAGCGATAGCGTGGGGTGACGGTGGACCGACCACGGAGCGCTGTTCAGACAGACCTACTCAGTGGGGTGGTTTTGGGGAGTGGGCTAAGGTTTATCCGCGCAGAGAGGCTGCTGGACTGGGCAAAGGTGAGGGACGTGCTGGATGGGTTCTCTTCCCGCAGGTGGGTAGTCTGAAGCATTTGCTGGAGACGGGGACCTCGGTCAACGCACCCCCAGATCCCTGCGAACAGTCGCCTGTCCACTTAGCTGCAGGTGGCGGCCTTGCCTGCTTTCTTCTCTGGCAGCTGCAAACAGGCGCTGACCTCAACCAGCAGGTAACTAGGCAACAGATTGTTGCTGTGTACAACCCTCCCCTCCACCCCAAACTACATGAACATTTTCTTCCTGCCAGAACGTTGTTTCGGTTGTTGTAAATGTGTCTGTGCAGTGATGTCGAATAGTAGTATAATGCAAGATGTTATATGTAGTTTAAGATTTTTAGTAACTATCAATAGAGTAAAATGAAACTTGAAATTAATCTTTGTAATTAACCAAACTTATACAAAATATTATTATTTGAATATGTTGTAATCAACATAAAACAATTGTTGATGGGACCAGCAGTTGGTGGTAATGGTTATGTTGCTGGACTCCCACGTAGTTGACCGCCATGCGAATCCTAGACCTGATGGCTGAAAACTCATGCCAGCGTGTGTGTATATGTGCCCAACATCCCCAGAGGAGAATGGAGAAGGGATTGTATTATGGCCACTGCCCCCTCCATGATTTCTCTCTTTCTGTCTCTCTGTCTCTCTGGCAAGTGCATACACTCTGCAGCAAAAATTTCTCTAAAAAAAATGTTGGTATGTATTTTACTCTTACAGTATATCTCCACTTAGACTAATTTTTCTTTTCTTTTTTAAATTTTACTATAGGGTGCACACACTCTCTGGGGTAGGTGGGATGGCCTCGCCACAATCCCTTCTCTTCCATTCTCTGGGGATGTTGGGCAGGGCATGCACACACACTGGCATGTTTCTCAGGCCACCGGTTCAGGCTTCGAATGGCACAGCTGGCCATGTGGGGTCCGGCTCCTTAACCTCCATGCCACTTGCTGTCCCCCACATATCAAATGCCTTTCAGGCATAAGTGGCTATTCACGATCACATAGGACAAAATGGCTACATTACCCAAGGTCTCAGTATGGCAATTGGAATACTTGTGAAACCCACCCCTAACCATTGTAGTGTAGTTCCCCACAGACTTGTAGTTCGTGTGTTCCATTGAATATTAAAGTATGGTGAATTTTAAATTGTCAACTTTTGACTTGTGTAGAATTCTATCTTGCTTTCATTCGTGGAAATATTCATGTATGTGGATGGGGCTGCACATGTACACGTTAAAATGAAAACCTTGTACTAAATAGTACAGTAGGGGGGCTTTGTAAAAAATAAGCTTGAATTGAAAAATCCAGTCCAGTGCAATGCAGTTCGAACTGGCTTCCTCATATAGCTGACTTTAGACTTCACCCACTGCCTTCCATAAGGAAGTGTACTGGGGAAAGATGCTAAAATGTGCTGTCTTGTCCTTAAGGATGTTTTGGGAGAAACTCCTCTACACAAGGCAGCAAAAGTTGGAAGCCTGGAATGCCTTAGCCTGCTTGTAGCCAGTGATGTCCAAATAGAGTGAGTATCCAATCAGTGGCTTCAAATTTGATATTTTCTTGGATTAAGCTAATCACATTCCTGAAGGTTAAGTACATGTGCTGTAAAAAAGAATACTTGCTAATTGATCATTTACTGCTGTCATTTAAATGTACACTTATGTGGTTATCTGGAGTATTCAGTTTGGGTAAATAAAACGTGGATCCTGAGCAGTTTAAGTGCAATTCTGTTCGTGATGGCTGTGTGCCCTTTCAGTCTGGGTTTAGGAAAACCCATCTGCAGAAGCGCTCATTGACGGCCTTTGGGTTCTCACCACTGTTTTGAACACTGAAGACTTCTGCATTCATTCAAAAGCAGAATGCCCGCTCCTCTAGCCACAGAGTACAATAAGAACGAAACTCCCCTGTGTGTCCTTACTTCTCTTCTGCAGCCCATATTTGTATGAGCCCAGATTTGTTAGAAAGCAGTAAAAAGGACGAAAGAAGTAGGAGCTTCTATTAAACTCAATTTTTGTTGTGATTTCAGTTTATGTAATAAGAATGGACAAACAGCCGAAGATCTTGCTTGGTCTTGTGGATTTCCGGAATGCGCCAAGTTTCTTACAAGAATTAAATGTATGCAGACAGTCAGATCAAGTGAACGCTGCGAGAGGGACCATGGGGTTCCAGTGCTCAGACAGAAACGAAGTTTTGGAAGTGCAGAGAGTGCAAATGGGAAAAGGAGGTGCTGGTAAGTAACTCGGTTGCTTTCTTCCTTCCTTGTGAAGCACTCCTTTAGTGCAGAATTGTTTTTCTTAAATACTGATGCTCACTTCTCGCATTATGGTTTCGTTTTTACTACTATTTTAATACTGGTTGTAGTTAGTACTACTGTATGGTAGAGACCAAAAATTGTCCAGTAGGGTGGAAGTTTAGGGAGAAGATTTTTTAAAAAGATTTTTTAACCATAACATTTTTTAAAAACAGATGTCATGGTGGTTATGAAGAGGTCTGAAGAAGTTCTTCATTTCAGGCTGATGTGTAAACTGTGGCTTCTGACTTACCATGTGTGTCTACGCTCCTTCTAAGAAGGAGGAAAATCTTCTTCCAAGTGAAGATAACATTTAAGAATACATGTATTTACATGCTTATACTACTTTGGTTGTACATGTTTTGTCTTCTAAGTTATTAAAAGAATGCTTAAAGAATGAATTCTCTGTGCAGTATTTACAACCTTGGGTGAAAAAGTCATATTTAAACAATCAAACCACACTTAGGATTTCATTTAAAATTAAACTTATTCTTTATTAACAAATTTATAATCTCTTTGCTATAGTCTTTGAATCTAAAATGCTTTAGATGATATTTGGCCGTTGAGGAAGACATAAGTTATAGTAAGCATCCTTGTTCCAGAAGTCTGGGCCCTTCCAGCCACACCAGCCCTGGATTTGAGAGAAGGGAAAAGAGAACCGTTAACAAAATCAAAAGACTAATGAAAATTATAACATAAGGCTGTGTCAAATGGGCTTTGGAATAAGGCTATAATTCCAGGACTTGAATTCCTACTAAGCATAGAAAACTAATTTATTTACTTAGGTAGATTTTTAAAACTGAACTCTATAGTACGTAATAATCATCACCTAAAAAGAAAAACAACTTTATGGTAACTGTTACTGTAGGTACCACATTTTATTGATCCTAAGATGCGCAGTTTTCCAACTCTAGCACCTGATTGCCTGTGACCGTTTAACTAGCAGTCCGGTCTGAGTAGCCCACAGGAGCCTATAAAGAGTACCACTCAGCAGCACCTGAGGTGTGATGAAATGTGGTGAGAAATTTGACCCAAGTCGCATTCTGGCCCTTTCATCTCCCTCAGGCTATAACCAATATCACTTTTCATCCTTTGCATTGGCATTAATCCCTTCCCCAGAAGAACAAATTATTGTTACTTTAAAATGAAATCTTACGAATATGAAAGTTTACACAATTTGTCCTAGGGTCAGTGATTTTTTTTTAGAGGTTTTTTGCTATAGGGTGCATGTGCTCGCCACAGAGACAGAGACAGACTGAAAGACAGAAAGTGAGAAATCATCCCCCAGAAGGGCTGGCCACACTGTAATCCCTTCTCCTCTATTATTCTCTTGGGATTTTGGGCACACACACACACACACACACGCATGTGCTGTGTGAGTTTAGGTTGTCGGTCCTAGATATGAACAGCGGTCAACTACGTGGGAGTCCAGTGACATAACCACTATGCCATTTGCTGGTCCTGATTTGTTTTCTTTTTAAAGTTTATTCTATTCAGGAAGCCAGCAATGACATAGGTTATGTCACTGGACTCCCACGTGGCTGACTACGGTTCGAGTCCTGGACCCAGTGGCTTGAAAATCATGACAGTGTATGTGCGTGCCCAAGATTCTGGGGGAGAAGGGATTGCGGTGTGTGTGGGGGGGATTTCTCACTTTCCGTCTCAGTGTGTCTGTCTGTCTGTCTGTTTTTCTCCAGCGAATGCATGTGCTTTAAGGCAAAAACCTCTTAAAAAATTTATTTTATTCATGACAGTGCATGTGTTGGTGTGTGTGAGGGAGAGGGAGAGAGAGGATGCCCCGCACGAGGTCTCATCACACTGCAGCCTTCCTCAGCCCTAGAGATCCTGGAGATAACACGTGTTTTCACCCCTGTCCTGGGACCCAAACCTGTTATCAGCCACGTGGCTCCCAGCACTGCAGTTAGCTGCTACTGTGTGCACCACAGCCTGGAGGGCGGCAGCTGGATTTATTTTCTTAAAGAAGAAAGGTTGAAGAAAAAGCTGAAGGCTGGTCTGCATTATAAATAATATCATTCTCAAATGCAGTGTTTTGAAAAATACTTGTGAGGAGCCAGCTAAGGGTTCTTAGATAACACTGAGGGAGTGACAAGCAGTGGTCGGACTCCTACTCTGACGGCTCAGGAGCTACTGGGTATTCTGGCAGGGGCCTCGAGTCGAAGATCATTGTTCTATAGAAATGTGTTAGCGCTACTTTTAAGTATGGAGGAAGGGTTGAGAACAGAGACTCTTATTTTCTTTTTCTGATTGCATAACATAAGAACATGTAAAAATTCAAAGTTGAAAGTAAAAAAAAACCAAAAACACCAGTCCTACAGTCCCCCTCTCCCAGGTACCACCATTAAGACTGGATTGTCTTTCAGACCTGTGTTTATACATAAATATCAAAAGTTCTTCAATATGCTCATGGAAAACGAATATTGTGAAAAAATTATGCATGGATTCCAGCATTTTTTTTTGCACCAAAAAAATCTTGTACTCGAATTCCATTTTTCCATAAATTTTTCAAAGTACTCTCATATTTATTATCTCATGTTTTCAGTAAAATTTTGATGTCTTAAAATCTGTTTTTCTAATAGGCAAATATTTTTAAAAAAGGGCTTATACTACCTCTATTTTAATCTTTTTAAAAAAATAATTCTTTTTTAAATTTTATTTATTATTATTTGATTTGACCAGAGAGAGACTGAGAAAGCAAGCCACCAGGTCCAGGACTCAAACTGTAGTCAGCCCTGTCTGTGGGAGTCCACTGCCCCAAACCACCATGCCACCTGCCGGCCCTGTTTTAACCTTCTGGTGATCCTTTCACACATGTAGGTCTTTTCCAGATAACTAGATCCAAAGTTTTTAAAAGGAGAGATGGATAGAGAAGGTGCCGATGATGGGAGTATGGGGGGAGGCTCAGTCCTGTGAGCTGACTGCTTGGGCGCTTCAAATAGGAAGGCTTTGCAGAGGATGAAGAGGATAGGCAGGGGCCGAATCTCGGAGGCCTCTGGATTCCAGGAGTCAAGTGAGTGTCAATAACCCCTGGCCCGGCCTCGGCTTCCTAATTTCTCCTAGGTACTCACAGAGTCAGGGGGCCCTGGCTGCCTGTAAGTTCTGTAGAAACTGCACTGGCAAAGAAGGTGGTTGCACGTGTCAGAAAGTAAACGAGGACAGTGCCTTACTTGGCCTGGTTGTTTCAGACCATCCTATCAAGGGAAGTTCATTCCTGCCAGTCCAAAAAAAAAAAAGATTTTATGATTGATGTTTTTCTCCTGAAGAAAGCAATTAAGGCGAATCCCTGTCTTTAAGATAAAATCAAAGTGCCGTGCTCCTCTGGCCGGCTCACAGCGAGTACTTCTTCACTCAGCTCCTGCCTCTCCTTGCGGCCACACCCCACCACCATGTCTGGGCACATGCAGTCACCAGGAGTGCTGGCCACGTGCAGTGCTTTCTGTTCACTGCCTCAGCTAAGCCCCTCTACAGCAGGGGTCCCCAACCAACAGGGCATGGACCAACATCTGTCCGTGACTCGTCAGGAACCGGGCCACACAGCATGAGCGACGCTCCATCTGTCCTCACAACCGCTCCCCATCACTGTTACTGTCCGAGCCCTGTCTCCTGTCAGAGCAGATGGGTAGAGGCCTTAAATCCTTATAAGACCAAGAACCCTACTGTGAACGGCACCTGAGGGATCTCGGTTGTGTGGGCTCATAAACCATCCCCACCGCACCCCACGCCACTCCCATCCATGGAAAAACTATCTTCCATGAAACTGGTCCCTGTTGCCAAAAAGGTTAGGGACTACTGCTTTACAGCATCAGCCTCTTTTTCTTTTTTTTAAAGCGTATGTGCTTGCCGGAGAGACAGAAAATGAGAAACCACCCCCTGGGGGTGATGGCCATGCATCACTCCCTTCTCCTCCATTCTCTTGAGATTTTTTGGGTAAAGGTTCAAGCCTCTGGGTCCAGGACTCACCCTGTAGTCAGCTATGTGGGAGTCTAGCAATGTAACCATTATCATCTGCTGGTCTCAGTATTAGCCCCTTAAATGCACCTGAGACACCTTTTTTTTTCTTTCTAAAAGGTTTTTGACATAGGGTGCATGTGCTCACCAGAGAGGGGAGAGAGAGAGGGACAGAGACAGTGAGAGGGACAGTGAGAAATCAATCCCCTTCCAGGGGGATGGCCATGATACAATCCCTACTCCTCCATTCTCCTCCGGGGATTTTGGGCACGTACACACATGCGCCTGGCATGAGTTTCAAGCCACTAGGTCCGGGACTTTAATTGTGGTCAGCCACATGGGAGTCCAGCACCTTAACCACTCCTCCACCTGCTGGCATCCTTGAGGATTCCTCTTGAACTCTCCTGTCCTGTAACTGAGAGCTCCTCAGAAACCTATTTTAAGGGGTCGGTAGGTGGTGTGGTGGTCAAGGTGCTGACTCTCACATGGCTGACTGCAGTGTGAGTCCTGGACCTGGTGACTTGGTTTCTCACTTAATAATAGCAAATAAAATTAAGTAATTATTATTATTTTTTTTAAAAAAAAGACCTATTTTAATACCCCTAGTGGCTGGCATATATAAAGCACTTTACAAATACTGAATGAACACTTTGATATAGAATGAGAGGAAATATTGTTACTCTCGCCAGAAAAATGTATATACTAGTCATATACATATACTTTCGTATACTTAAAATTCCAACTGCCTTAGAAAAGGAGGGAAAAAGAAAGTACAGTTTCAAGAACACATTCCTATCTTGTTAATATTAAGTCTTATCATCAGGAAAAGGCTAGTAAATTGAGGATATGAGTCACACACACACACACACACACACACACACACTCACATTCATATACACACAGCTTGTTACAGACATATTAAAACATTTTATCCTTAGGGCTTTAGCAACATAATGTAGCTATATTCTTTGCAACTGCTGAAAACACCTCACCAGTGAATTTCAATGTTGAATTCTCCAATTCCCCAGGTTTTCTGACTTTTAAAAAGTGACCTAATTAAACCACAATTTCAAAGTTCAAAGAAACCTTTCTTTGCTGCTAATGATATTGACAAGTGATGACATGACACAAATGAAGAACGGAATATATTCATTAATTTATGGCTTAACAGGTTGTGTATTGGGACCGACAGATGGCGTTAATGGTTACGTCGCTGGACTCTCACACAGTCAAGTGTGGTTGGAGTCCTGGACGTGGTGGCTTAAAAATTGACTCCAGGCGCATATGTGTGCGAGCCCAGTATCCCAAGAGGAGAATGGAGGAGAAGGGATTGTGGCGTGGCCATCCTCCCGGGAAGTGATTTCTTGCTTTCTCTCTCTCTGATCAGTGCACACTGCCTATAGCAAAAATCTCTCTTAGAAAAAAAAAAAAAAAAAGAGGTGTATTTAAGTTAATTATATCTTATAATACTTTTTTTCCTGAAGATTCAGTACTGAGTTTTCTTTTTTTTTTTTGAGAGATTTTTTCACTGTAGGGCGCGTGCGCTCGCCAGACAGACAGAGACATAGAGACAGAAAGCGAGAAATCACCCCCCAGGGGGGATGGTCACGCCGCAATCCCTTCTCCTCCATTCTCCTCTCGGGATCTTGGGCACGCACGCACACGCGCCCGGCGTGAGTTTTAAGCCACCGGGTCCGGGACACGAACCGCGGTCGACTACGTGGGAGTCCAGCGACATAGCCATTACGCTAACTGCTGGTCCCCAGTACTGAGTTTTCTTATGTGAGAATTAGTTCTCTATAAATTTATACCTTTGTAAGCTGTTATTGTAAGATCAACAATACTCTTAGATATGTCTTACCTTCAAATACTTTGTAGAATGAGATTAGGTTATATGTAAATAAATTAAAACTAATCAGGATACTATCATATATAATAGTTAGCTATTTTTTGGTCAATTCCAAAATTATATAGTTAATATATTCCACTGTTCTATTTCATGACACTAATAATCCTTGGCACATTTATTTATGCAAGGCTATAAAATCTCCAAAGGAATACATTCGGGAGCTGTGTGTTCCATTAAGTTGAATACCTCGGGAAGTGTTTTATAAACCTAAGCTAACTTTGGTGTTTGCAGTTTACTTTGTGTTTGCTTGTTCTCTCTATAGAGAGAGGTGCCTTATCATAACCCTACAATACTCCTTAAGTGAGGGTCACTGCTTTTGGGCTGTAGTCTTTCTAGCAGCCAGTTTGCCATCCTTCATTTCTGGGTTTCTTTGCCTGTGTCTAAATTTGTGTTAAGCAAATACTTACCTTTTCCAAAATAACTTGCAGATCTTCAGCTCCTGTATAATGTGGATCTAGGATCAGAAATTTTATCTGCCCTGTAATCTCATTCCATGCAACTCCCAGTATTGTGTGTGCCAATACCCCTCCTCCTGTAGAAAAAATATACAAGAGAGGGCATATATTAATCTCAACTGCCTAGTCGATTTAAATTTTAAAAATTGATTATTTTGCCAATCAATCTATTGGGCTGTCAGAAAAGTCATGATGTATTTTTACATAGGAAAACATAAAAAATACATTATGACTCTCCCAACGACCTAATAAAATGGCCTTAAGATGGCCTACCCTGGATTGTAAAAGACCAGCATGTCAAACACGTGCAGCATTATATCTTTAACACGTAAAAGATACAGCCATATCTAAAATCATATAAAGCTTATATTCCCCTGCCATAGCCATAGAATGACCTAGACTGGACGTAGAAAGCGCTACAGGGGGTCCAACTCCTGCCAACAGAGAACAGTCAGTGCCACGGCACCTCTCAGCAGACAGTCCCGCTGCCTCTCCTGCGCACCTCCCGTGATACAGAATCACACATCTGCAGATCAGTCGATCCAGCATTTTCAGCCCAGTGAGGTCAAGTAGTCTGCACCGTGTCACACGGCCAGCCAAGTCTGTGACACAGCATGACTTACGCTGGCTGTGGCCATCTCTTGTTAACACTGCTCTCAGCTCTTTAAATGTCTGGACACAGTTACCATTTCTATTCTCAACTTTCACCTCCTCTGGCGGTTACAGAATTGTTTTGTAACCTTGCCACCTTGGAAATGTTTTGAAAAATATGCAAATATCACCTATGGTATAAATGACTAAATATGTATGGTATAAAAGTTCATTTAAAATATGTGGAATTATAGATTTTGTGCAATATTAAACATTTATATTAGTGAGAAGTTTTACAGACACTCCACTCTACCCAGAGTCCAAAAATGTCTGAGCTATCTTACCGATCATTACTGGTGTTCCTTCACTCTGGAAATGGTTAGCCAGTTCTCGTCCCTGAGAAGCCATTTCTGAACCTTGGCTAGAAAGAAACCATCTTCCATCAGATGAACGATTCCAGTGAACTGGTAGGACACTGACTTAGCAAATGAAAGAGCATCGATTCTCTAGATACTGAAGGCCACTAAATGTGCTAGGAAAGAAGCAACAGACCTTGCTTTTCTGCTTCTGGAGCAATGCAAGGAAAGTCCTAGATTTTAAACACAAGGCTGAAGCTGGAGGTGCTCATGGGTGGGTTTACGTATCAGAATGAGTCTGAAGTTCTGGGTTCTTGTCTTTGTGCTGCTGAACTCCTCCAGCCACATTTCCTCTTCTTTAAATTGGGACCAGTAGTACCTGTCCTAAGGAGGATTCTAAGACTACGACATCTGGATGTGAAAGCCAATGTGAAAACTACCGACATGTTGCCCAGCCCAACAAATTCTTTTTTAGGGACTATTTTAACATGCTATGCAACTTCTACTTTTGAGACCAGAAAAAAGGTGGACAGATGAAGGAGGTATGAGACCAGAAAAAAGGTGGACAGATGAAGGATTTATTCTTCTTTTGGGGGAAGTGCCAGGTGATGCTAAAATTTAACTCTTGCTTAATAAGGAATGTGTACTTTATGTTTTTTTTTTTTAATATTTCATTTAACTTCATTTATTTATTTTTAATTTTGACCAGAGAGGGAAGAGTGACAGAGAGAGAGAGAGAGAGATGGAAAGTGAGAAAACAAGCTGCCAGGTCCGGGGCTCGAACCGCCGTCGGCCATGTGGGGGAGTCCAGTGCCCTTAACCACTACGCCACCTGCCGGCCCCATTTTATGTTTTAATGTGCTCAAACTTTCACTTTTTAAAAGATCTTCATGCCTTAACCTATCATTTGAGAGTAGTAATTTCCAGTCATTCTAAGTTATAGTGTGAAGTCAGATGTGTTATATAAGGTCCTTAGACAACAAGGGTAATGCTCCTGTAGTTATCAATAGAAAATATATTTAAAATGTAAGTTTTTACAATAAATAGTAAGCTGGTTATGGTCATAGAAAATTATATTACTTAATATCCTCCATATTTTAATATTAAAATTATTGTTAAATAAATTGGGAAAGATTAAATATATTATTTGAACATATTATTAGCTTATTAATATCTTACGAAGAAGAAGAGCAGCAGAAAAATAAACAAAAAGGACAGTCATAGATCAGCATTGGACTTTTATTCTTTCAAAATTTTTTGAAGACTTGAGCATTGAAAAACAGACTTTCTGTGGGGCCAGCAGATGGCATGGTGGCTAAGGTGCTGGACTCCCACATGACTGATTACGGTTTGAGTCCTGGACCTGGAGGCTTGCTTTCCTACTTTATCTCTCTTGTCAAATTAAACAAATAATAATGATAATAAATAAAATAATTCTTTTTTTTTTTTTTTGAGGTTTTTGCTATAGGGAGCATGCATTCGCCAGAAAGACAGACAGAGACAGAGACAGAAAGCGAGAAATCACCCCCCAGGTGGGATGGCCACGCCACATTCCCTTCTCCTCCATTCTCCTCTCGGGATCTTGGGCGGGCACACATGCACATTCGCCCGGCGTGAGTTTAAGCCATCAGGTCCGAGACTCGAACCCCGGTCGACTACATGGGAGTCCAGTGACATAGCCATTACGCTAACTGCTAGTCCCAAAATAAAATAATTCTTAAGAACAAACAGACTTTCTGTAACTTCACTGAAAGTTAACTAAGATATCTAAGTTTTTCCTCTTCTAGGTTAAGATTAAGCCCACATAATGCCACTATATATCACAAAATTTATTCATAAACTCAGAAGTCTTTTAAAAAATAACCCTCAAGATTTCAGATTGAAAAAATGAGACTTAGAAAGTAATGAGGTAATGAGGGAGGAGGGAAAGGAGTGAATATAAATGAGAGAACAAGAGACCATTTTTCTCTAATTTAAAAAGGACACAATGTCACTCTGAAATGATTTATCTAATTTCTTAAAATGCCCTTACCTGACAAACAGTATTTTTGAAGTTATGCCAATCAGTTGGTTTAGCACCAGCTGTACCTCAATGGATCCAATCCACTGCCGTGATCCGACAAATGCTGCAGGTTTGTCACCGGCGTCAACTAGCGCCTTGATGTGTTTAAAAATATAAAAATCCATATACGAGACAGCTATTAAAGTTACATTTAGGTCATCTTCCCTGATCACCAGTATAACATTTTTTTTTCTTCAAAACAGAAGTCTGCACCATGAAGTCGTAATAAATATTAATGGTATTTTAAAGGCTAATACAATATACAGGTGGTTGTAACTTATAAATGCATTTCTGTACCTGCTGAATTTCTCTGTGTGTTGGAATGGGCCTCTCGGTGTATCCCTGATGTCTGAACCAGGAGCAGATCGTCTGCAGAGAGCGGTAAGCACAGCCCCAGCCGTTGTCATCTATCCGGTCCTGCATGTAGTGGTGATAACCGTATATGCCCTGGACCACGGCAACCTACACAGAACGAAGAAACGTAGTCAAGTAGTCACTTAACATACAAGTGCGTGTTCTCTCTCCACACCTGACTCCTGCTCACTGTTCTCAGCGCTATACTGCTCCTTCAGTCCCTTATAAAAACGTCTTCACAAAACGATGGTTTTACATGCTACCCTCTGGGCTTATTTATTATTATTTTTTTAGGTTTTATGTATTTATTTTTCCATGAGCAAGAGAGACAGAGACAAAGAGACAACACCTCCATCAGGGGTCGCTCAACCAGTCCTAGCTCACAGGCCTGCGCCTGACAGGCTTACACAGGGAGGTCTCTAGCACATGCCCATGGTGCTCAGCCTCACGGTTTCACCACTGTTCTGCCACCCCCTTGGCCCTTTCTTTCTTCTCTCTCTCGCTTTCCTTTCTCTCTCTCTCTTTCTCTCTTTCTCTCTCTCTCTCTCCTTTTTATCTCTCTCCTTTCTCCCTTCCTCCTTTCCCCTCCCTCTCTCCCTCCCTCCCTCCCTCCTTCCTTCCTTTCTCTTTTTCTTTTTTTGTAAGGTTTTTGTCATAGGGTGCGTGAGCTTACCAGAGAGAGAGAGAGAAAGACAGAGTGAAGGAAAGTAAGAATTTGCCCCCTGGAGGATGCCCACACTGCAATCTCTCGTCCTTCATTCTCCTCTTGGAATTTTGGGCATGTGGACACATATGCCTGGCATGATTTTCAAGTCACTGGGTCTGGAACTTGAGAAGCCATCAGCCCTATGGGGATCCAGCGCCTTTAACCAACATGCCACCTGCTTCCCCCACCTCTCGCTTTTAGCAAATGCTCTGAGTCCTTACCGAGGGGCCCAGTAAGACCTGCCTTCTGGGCTGTTCTCTAAGTTCATCTCCTCCACTTTCCCCATTCCTCACTGTTTTAGGTTCAAATATACCAGCAGCAATCAGACCTCTGTGCTTAGAGCTCTCTGAGCCTAGAATACTCTCTTCTCAACTAATTTTAGAGCTTGCGCCCTTGCTTCACTCAGGTCTCTGTTCAGACGTCAGAGGCCTCCCCGACCCTCCAACCTAAATATGGCACGCTCGCTCACCATCCCCCACCCCCACGTTGGCCAACATCTCTTATCTTGCTTAATTTTATTTTTAAAATTACTTTTCAAACACTTACCATTACTTCACAGTTTTTTGTTATACACAATGAACTTTACTCTTAAAATAAATGAAGTGAATAAAAAAAATGAACCAGATAGAGCTACATACAGCAATATAGAAGAATCTTATAAAAATAATATTGAGTCACAGATACAAGAAACAGAATAATATTTCCACTATGTTTCATATAGATTACATTCCGAAGCAGAACTCAGCAGGTGGTGTAGAGGCTAAGGTGGCTGGATCCCGCAGGGCCAGTCCGGACCCAGGGACTTGAAAGAAACACAGGGCACGTGTGCGTGCGTGCCCAGAATCCCAAGAAGAGAATGGAAGGGAAGGGACGGTGCCATGGTCATCCCCCCCAGGAGGTAATTTCTTCCTTCCCTTCTCTCACTCCCTGCCTCTACCCATCCCTGGCAAGTGCATGCACCCTACAGCAAACTAAAAAAAAGGAAAAAGAATGAGAATAGCAGTTTCCTAAGGATGAGGAAGGGGCAAGGGGCAAGGTATTGCATTCACGGTATGTTTAGTCAGTACGCTATACGTGCACGTTTCATGCACTGGTCTGTGTGTTCTGTGTGTTACTTCACAACAAAAAATTGTTTTAAAGAAAACATAGATAAAAGGATTAATTTGATAACGATAAGAACACTTCTTCCTGTGAGGTAGGAATGAAGGATGAATAACGGTATGTGTCTAACTGCAGAAGGTTGATTTTCCCTGTGAGCAACGGGACAGCTAGGCTAAGAAGGCAGTGGCAGTCTCAGGAGATCGTCGGAAGTTCAGGTAACAGTTACGGAAGCAGAGAAGTCACTAAGCACACTGGGTAGACTGTTAACTGTGCGCTTCCGATCGCCAGTCACGCTCACTCATCAAAGCAAAAATCAGTGGTATTCAGCATGTTCTGTGAGGCCAGGAGATGGCAAAGACGTCTGCCAAAAGGAATGAAGTATTTAAAAGATTTAGTGTTTAGTACTTAGTATAATTCTTTTAAGAATTTAAAAATTTTGTACACATCCAGCCACTGTGTAGCATTACAATTTGTAAAATGAATTTCCCCAGCATGAATACACTATATTCATGTTCAGTTAAAGATACTACCATGTACCTTATCATCAACAGATAATTTTCCACTGTTGTGTCCCTTAAATGTTTGGCTTCGTTCTTTCTCCTGATTTCCTCCCTCTCCTCCCCCTCCCCCCATGGACACAGTGTTAAATGTCTGCCTGGCCAGACCAACACCTGAGCTCAAGGAGGGTCCTCACTGGGCTTCCTCATTTCTGGGATGACCGAGCACACCACTGATACAAATGTCGAAGAAACGAGGGATGAAAAGATACAGGAATAACAAATGAGGAGTCTATAAATGGGGTATAGGAAGACTTTCTGCAGTTTTCTAAATCTGCCATCAATTATAGCCCACGTATTGTCATTGAGTGACTGTAAAGTAGGGTCGATATCATATAAATTCTTACAGTAGTAGTATAATGCTAAGAATGCACCTGTCTTTCTCTCTTTTTTCTTTTTTATCTAACTGGTATCATTAAAAAAAAAAAAAAAAAAAGTAAGAGTCACAAGCAAAGGCAGAACCCTCACCCAACTATTACAGAATGTGTATTCTGCTCAAGCAGATAGAAGATTTATGACTTATGTGGTAGGTTGAAAAACTGTTCCTAGAAGATACCTATGGCTACTCCCTGGAATCTGTGACTGCAACCTTATAGAGCAAAAACAAAGCATGCTGCTTGCATAGACTACATTTGAGAATTTTAAAGTGGGCAGAGTATCCTCCTGGACTACCCAGGTGGGCCCTAAATATGTTCTTAGGAGGGAGATGGAGGGATATCTGACCCAGAGGAGGACACTGTCACCACAGAAACAAAGATTAGAAGGATGTGGCCACAAACCAAGGAATGCTGGCAGCCACCAGAAGCTGGGAGAGGTAAGGAATGGCTTCTCCCCAAAAGCCCATGAAGGGAGTGTGGCCTTGCTGGCAACGCTGACACACCTAGTGATACTGATTTTAACCTCGAGCCTCCGTAACAGCAAGACGTTTCGGTAGTGTTTTGTTTTAGTTTTGGTATAGGGCGCGTGCACTTGCTGGAGACAGAGAGATGGAGGTCGGGGGAGATAGAAAGGACCACTCAGGGAGTATGGCCATGCCACAATCCCTTCTCTTCTAATCTCCCCTCAGGATTTTGGGCACATATGCACAGGTATCGGGCATGTTTCTCAAGCCCTTGGGCCCAAGACTTGAACTGTGTATTTGGCCCGGTGGGATCCACCTGCCTTAACCATCATGCCACCTGCTGGCCCAGTTCTGAAGTTTTGTGCCACCATGTTTGTGGTCACAAGAACAAACCTAAGTCTCAATAAATTTCAGAATCAGTATTTTCGAAATTGCTTCTGACTAGAGGCAAAAGAGCCATAAACCAACGAGGTGTGTGTGCATGTACACCCAAAATCCCAAAAGAAGAGTGGAGGAAAAGGGACTGCAGTGTGGCCATCCCTCTTGGGGAATGATTCCTCACGTTCCCACTCTGTCTCTCTTTCTGGTGAGCACATATACCCTATGGCAAAAATCTTAAAATTAAAACAACAAAACAGGGACCAGCAGATGGTGTAATGGTTATGTTGCTGGACTCCCACATAGTTGATCGCGGTTAAGTCCTGGACCCAGCAGCTTAAAACTCACACTGGGCACATACGTGTGCGTGCCCAAAATTCCGAGAGAAGAATGGAGGAGAAGGGATTGTGGTGTGGCCATCCCCTCTTGGGGGTGATTTCTCACTTTCTATCTCTGTTTCTCTGGTGAGCGCATGTGCCCTATAGCAAAAATCTCTTTCAAAAAACAAAACAAAAATAAATTCTGATATATTTATATGAATATTAAAAAACCTTATAAATAATACATATATTAATAGAAAAGTAACAATACTTAGAAGTGAACAATACTAAAATCCTCCAGTTAAATCTTAGACTATTGCAAAGGCAGTGCTTGCTAGAAATGTAAAACCCTACATTAGAAAATAAGATTAGCAATCAGGTAAGTGTCCAAATTTAGAAGAAAAAAATGAAAGAGCAAACATTAATGAAATAAAACACAAAAGTTTTAAGAGGGCATGCAAAGTTAAAAAAGCTAGAAAAAGAAGGCATACACACTATTCCACATACGTATCAAGAGACATACATAGGGATGTTTACAGCAGGAGTGTCTAAATAGCAAAAACAGTTGAGAATATATCACACAAATGTATATCACACAGCAATAAAGATAACTGAGTCACACTTAGACAAAATACCACAGATAAATCTTAGGTATATAATGTTGAGTGGGAAAACAAGTTGTAGAAGATTACACATGGGAGGATACCATTTATAGAAATGGTAACAACCCTCCCCCCCACACACACATATTTCTCAGGTAATATATACATACATGATGGAACTATTTAAAAAAAAGAAAAGGAAAAAGGAAAGGGAATATAGACACAAAACTCAGTGAAACAACAACTCGTGAGCTGTCAGGGAGACGGGGAGGGGAGACGGTGGAGCACAGTCGGACTGGCAGTGTTCTAGTGTAAACCAGGGACTTCCTGGTCCTCATTTCCTCACTGTGCTTTATCACTTACATATATGCACATACCAGATGTTACATAATATTAAAATAACAAATATTTATGAAAATAATAAATAGTTCCTTACAAGAACCCGGACACTCATAAGACTCTGAATGAGCACTGATTGATTTTTGATAGTGAACTAGACTCATTGTCTGCAGACTATCAAAAACCAATCAGCATTCTTCCAGTGTCTTATGAGTGTCCATGTTCTTCATAAGGAACTGCTGAGAACTAAAAATGGCGCCAGCCTGTGACCTCGTGATTAAGGCAGCTGTGAACCGCAGGGCTGACTGCATGACTCAAGACAAGAAGTCTAATACCTAGACTTATTCTAGTGTGGTTTGGTAAACTATACCCTTAGTTAGCATGGTTTCTTAGTTTCAAAATGCAATATGGAGCAAGCCTTTAAAAAAACTAGGGAGTAGGGGCCAGCAGGTGGCTTTGTGGTTAAGGCACTGGACTTCCACACGGCTGACTGTGGTTTGAGTCCTGGACCTAGTAGCTTGAAAAAATCATACCGGGTGCATGTGCATGTGTGCCCAAAATCCTGAGACAAGAATGGAGGAGAAGGGACTATGGTATGGTCATTCCTCCCGAGGGGGTGATTTCTCATTTTCTCTCCCCCTGTCTCTCTCTGATGAGTGCACACACCTGATAACAAAAATCTAAAAAAAAAAACTAACAACAATGAAATTAGAGAATGGAATTTTAGTGAGAGAAATGTGGTATATACCATCTATCCCTAACCTTCTTAGACCACTGTTAATTATTGCTATCTCAAGCAATGATTGTTTAAAAAGATGGGTGATAAATTGTTTTAAGGATGACATACGTTATGAATTAATCCTTATAACTGCTATTAGGTACCAAAAAAACAAAACAAAACAAACCCACAAAAACAGCAAATGACATTTATGAGTTGATTCCCATAAATAGTTAAACTTACCATACCAGACTCAATGTTAGGTGGATTAAGATAAGTATGTGGATTTCTAATGTAGCCATCTTTGTAAGGCTCATCTGGAAAGTGATAAGCATTGGACCTTTTGAAGTAAGGTCTGTCGTGAGGTAGATTGAAGAGATCATGTAATTCCTAAATGAAATGAGAATCAATAGAAAAAGAAAAAAATTAATGATTTAGATTCCTAGTTAATAAATAAACTCAAACTTAAGAAGTTAAAACATAGAAAAGTAATTATATATTGGTTATGTTTCTAAACACATGCATGATTTAATTCACTAAGGTCAAAATGGGAGAGAATTACACCAAAACAAACTAAAATTTGTTTTTGTTTATGTGTATGGGTAGGAACTAGAAAGGAACATAAGAAAAATGAAAATAATTTGTTAGAGTGAGAGAAATGGGATAATTTGAAATTAATTATAACATAATTTGTTAAAATATACTTAAATTGGGGCCAGCAGGTGATGTGGTGGTTAAGGCACTGGACTCCCACACGGTCAACCAAGGTTTGAGTCCTGGACCTGGGAGCTTACTTTCTTACTTTCCCTCTTTCTGTCTCAGGTGAACATATGTGTCCTATAGCAAATTTAAAAATAACAATAATAATAATAATAATAAATAAATAAATTCTTTATAAAAAGTAATAAAATACATCTAGGTTAAAGACTGATTTTGAAACGGCCTTGTAAATGAGTAAATCATCATTAACAATGATATATCATGTTTAGAATACTTTACAAATATAAGAGGCAATGGCTAAATTACAGAGTACAAGTTGCTGGTATAAAACCAATCGATATGGCATGAAAATGAAAATACACACACGTCTGGAAGCCAGCAAGTGGTATGGTGGTTAAGGTGCTGGACTCCCAAATGGCTGACTGCAGTTTGAGTCCTGGACCTGGCAGCTTGCTTTCTCGCTGTCCCTTTCTCTCTCTCTCTTTCTCTGGTCAAATTAAAAAATAATAACAAGTAAGAAAAAATTAAAAATTCTTAAAAAATATATACATGTTTAAAATGAGGTATTTCCCCAATTATAAAAACACGTAATAGTTACTTGAAAAGTCTAACATGTGTTATATCTTGTCTGCATTATAGTGGTGTGAAGAGAGCATCTGTGTAGTTGTTGCCTTTGCAAATCAGTTCACCTTGAATTTATAGACAGGTGCAGACGGCAAGAGTGTTATACATCTTCTCGGGAATAAAGATTAGGAAGATGGTCCATGGTATAATTTGACAGGTAACAGATCAAGGCCATATATATCAAAAAGATGTACCCCCAAACCATTCATTGTGCCAGTTAATCTTGTTTTTTGAATATGAGTCATGATTTCTCCCAACTCTCACTAATAAAAGCCAAATAATCCTATGTATGGTAGAACATCAATGTAAATCCTAATCAGAATTAGTATAAATTCTAATTTCTCTTCCTTAAGTGTGATCTTTTCTCTCTCGCAAATCTGGAAGTAACAGGAGAGGAAAGAAGTTTGTTAACACTCATCAGCTACACTAGGCATGCATCACCTCTTCATGTCTGTATTCGGTTATGAAAATATATAAAAATCTTACAGAATATGTGAACCACATTGAACATGTGAAACTAAAATGTTATGTATGGTTTAGAATAATTTTTTTTTTCTTTCTTAGGAGAGGTTTTTGCTATAGGGCGCGTGCGCTTGCCAGAAAGAGAGAGAGAGACAAAGAGACAGAAAGCGAGAAATCACCCCCTTGGGGGGAGGGCCACGCCGCAATCCATTCTCCTCCATTCTCCTCTCGGGATCTTGGGCACACATGCATTCACACCCGGCATGAGTTTTAAGCCACTGGGTCTGGGATGTGAACCACGGTCAACTACATGGGAGTCCAACGACAGCCATTACATTAAATGCTAGTCCCTACAATAATTTTTCATTAAAAATACTTAAAAGAGCCAGTCAGGTGGCACAGTGGTTAAGGCATCTGGATCCCATATAGCTGACTATAGTTTGAGTCCCAGACCTGATGGCTTGAAAAACACACCCAGTGTGTGTATGTGTGCGCCCAAAATCCTGAGAGGAGAATGAAGGGATTGCTGCATGGCCATTCCCCTGGGAGAGTGCTTTCTCATTTTATCTCTCTGTCTGTCTGTCTCTGAGGAGCACACATGCTCTATAGCAAGCAAACTAAAAAAAAAAAAAAATTACTTTAAAAATAATTTTCATAACAATAAAAAATAAATATATGGAAAATAGTCTACTTCTACCCTATTACATTAAATCTCAAAATATTTTCCACTTATTAGAAATGCATCATTAAATACGAATTGAATGATAAGTCATCTTTTTCCTAAGAATAAATGAACCGGTTTACCTTTCTGAAGGCCTGCAGCTGATCATCTGGTATTCCTGATGGATACGAAATTGTTACAAGACTTTTTTGCCCTGGTAATGAAAAGTGCAGTGGTTCAGGGACCACAATGGATGTTCCTTTCATGTATTTCAAAATGCACTTCTCCATGTCAGCCAGCTGATTATGAATTGCATCAACGAGAAGTTTACGAACTCTATGGGGGGAGGGGACAGAAATATATAAACCAGTTAACAAAAGTTATAGTGACTGAGATAAACGAAAGAATAGTGCAAAGAGATCCCTAATACGTAGAGTAAAAACCTTGATTGGACCAGGTTTGTTAAAGGACGTCTAAATGATGCACAGTAAAACAGTGTATAAAATACATCTAGGTTAAAGACTGATTTTGAAACGGCCTTGTAAATGAGTAAATCATCATTAACAATGATATATCATGTTTAGAATACTTTACAAATATAAGAGGCAATGGCTAAATTACAGAGTACAAGTTGCTGGTATAAAACCAATCGATATGGCATGAAAATGAAAATACACACACGTCTGGAAGCCAGCAAGTGGTATGGTGGTTAAGGTGCTGGACTCCCAAATGGCTGACTGCAGTTTGAGTCCTGGACCTGGCAGCTTGCTTTCTCGCTGTCCCTTTCTCTCTCTCTCTTTCTCTGGTCAAATTAAAAAATAATAACAAGTAAGAAAAAATTAAAAATTCTTAAAAAATATATACATGTTTAAAATGAGGTATTTCCCCAATTATAAAAACACGTAATAGTTACTTGAAAAGTCTAACATGTGTTATATCTTGTCTGCATTATAGTGGTGTGAAGAGAGCATCTGTGTAGTTGTTGCCTTTGCAAATCAGTTCACCTTGAATTTATAGACAGGTGCAGACGGCAAGAGTGTTATACATCTTCTCGGGAATAAAGATTAGGAAGATGGTCCATGGTATAATTTGACAGGTAACAGATCAAGGCCATATATATCAAAAAGATGTACCCCCAAACCATTCATTGTGCCAGTTAATCTTGTTTTTTGAATATGAGTCATGATTTCTCCCAACTCTCACTAATAAAAGCCAAATAATCCTATGTATGGTAGAACATCAATGTAAATCCTAATCAGAATTAGTATAAATTCTAATTTCTCTTCCTTAAGTGTGATCTTTTCTCTCTCGCAAATCTGGAAGTAACAGGAGAGGAAAGAAGTTTGTTAACACTCATCAGCTACACTAGGCATGCATCACCTCTTCATGTCTGTATTCGGTTATGAAAATATATAAAAATCTTACAGAATATGTGAACCACATTGAACATGTGAAACTAAAATGTTATGTATGGTTTAGAATAATTTTTTTTTTCTTTCTTAGGAGAGGTTTTTGCTATAGGGCGCGTGCGCTTGCCAGAAAGAGAGAGAGAGACAAAGAGACAGAAAGCGAGAAATCACCCCCTTGGGGGGAGGGCCACGCCGCAATCCATTCTCCTCCATTCTCCTCTCGGGATCTTGGGCACACATGCATTCACACCCGGCATGAGTTTTAAGCCACTGGGTCTGGGATGTGAACCACGGTCAACTACATGGGAGTCCAACGACAGCCATTACATTAAATGCTAGTCCCTACAATAATTTTTCATTAAAAATACTTAAAAGAGCCAGTCAGGTGGCACAGTGGTTAAGGCATCTGGATCCCATATAGCTGACTATAGTTTGAGTCCCAGACCTGATGGCTTGAAAAACACACCCAGTGTGTGTATGTGTGCGCCCAAAATCCTGAGAGGAGAATGAAGGGATTGCTGCATGGCCATTCCCCTGGGAGAGTGCTTTCTCATTTTATCTCTCTGTCTGTCTGTCTCTGAGGAGCACACATGCTCTATAGCAAGCAAACTAAAAAAAAAAAAAAAAATTACTTTAAAAATAATTTTCATAACAATAAAAAATAAATATATGGAAAATAGTCTACTTCTACCCTATTACATTAAATCTCAAAATATTTTCCACTTATTAGAAATGCATCATTAAATACGAATTGAATGATAAGTCATCTTTTTCCTAAGAATAAATGAACCGGTTTACCTTTCTGAAGGCCTGCAGCTGATCATCTGGTATTCCTGATGGATACGAAATTGTTACAAGACTTTTTTGCCCTGGTAATGAAAAGTGCAGTGGTTCAGGGACCACAATGGATGTTCCTTTCATGTATTTCAAAATGCACTTCTCCATGTCAGCCAGCTGATTATGAATTGCATCAACGAGAAGTTTACGAACTCTATGGGGGGAGGGGACAGAAATATATAAACCAGTTAACAAAAGTTATAGTGACTGAGATAAACGAAAGAATAGTGCAAAGAGATCCCTAATACGTAGAGTAAAAACCTTGATTGGACCAGGTTTGTTAAAGGACGTCTAAATGATGCACAGTAAAACAGTGTATCTGCTAAAGGGAGACCTTCTAGGTTTCAGCGTGCTATTCTACTTCCTCCAAATAAACATGAATTACTAGGTGACTCTTCAGTTAATAAGGAAGAAATCACTGTAAAAACAACTACCACCCCAGATATGCCTATCAGATATTTGAAAGTAGAACCTGATTATGTTGGGAAGGACCTCATTTAAATGGAACAGAAGTACTACAAAAATACTTACTTTCCCCATGACTCTTCTGGAGCGACAGATAAAACCGCATCGACTGGCAAAGTCATAGTAACATAGTGGTGTCCTCCACTTTCCCTTTCAATGATGGGGGTTACAGCTGCCAGCGAGGTTGACATTTCCAGCATAAGATCTATATTTACTACTGGAGGCTATACAGGAAAATGACTGGTGATTTTCACATCACTATCTCCAGCCCACAATTTATTTGATATCCTCCACATTTATCAATGTAATAGCTTAACTATATCTCAGTGGAATCGTCATCATACCAAAATGACCTCACATCTTGTCTACCTTCCATCTTTTCTCAAGCAAGAAACTGGTCATGCCATATTCAATTTGTTTTCAAGTAAAATTCCCTAAATATCTCTTGTATCTATTCCTTCTTCTCTATTCCATAACTAGTGATTTAATTAGGCCTCTTTTAAAGAGGTCCTGCCCATTATTCCAACTTAAATGTCCATGCATTCTCCCCCTTACTGGCCTGGAAAACACTATAGCATTAACTTCACAGAACTTCCTGCCTTGAAGAAGTATCTCGTTTTCATCTGCAACACCTAAGTTTTTGGCAGATGGCAGGTACTCTATAATACTGGCTCAAAAATCAACAGAACCAAAAACAGCAGGAAGGAAAATGAATTTTTTTAATCTTACATACCATAATGTGTCGTTTTGTTGTGTTTCATAAGGCTCCTTTTTATTTATTTTTAAAATAATTTATAAATGTACTCAGGCTGTTGTATTTTTGTGGGAGCAAAGACAACATTAAAAAAATCCTTTCCATGTATGTATTAGAATGAGTCAAAATCTTAGATAAGTACAACAGACATACAACCTTCAGTAAGTCATTGAATTGTTTTGGACCTCAATAATTTGACCAAGAAGAGGGTTCGATTAAATTATCTCTAAGATCTCTCTCAGTTCCACATTCGAAGATTTAAAATCCGTATCACTGGAGACAGATGATTTGCTTACCATGTCTGATAACCTTTTGTCCTTCTTTCTCATGAATTTTCGTTTTGTATCTTCTTCCTGCTCAAATCTGAATTATAAATACACAGAGAGGTTTATAATACGAAGTGATGGTTCGGAAACATTTCTAGGCGTCCTCAAAGACACTCACCGGATAAAGCGCATGATGTCCTTACAAGCAGAGCTGTCAGTCAGCTCTCCTGGGACGGTGTTCACAGCACTGTTAGGCCACACGTACACCGAACTGCGGCCAATTCTGAACACCAGGGCATCTGAAGAAAGCTTGGCTGACAGGTCACTCAACACATGTTTTAGTGCCTTCCTGATGAAAATGTCTAAATTTTAAAATAGAAACAGGAGACAAATCTTAAGTTTTCAATATGAACGTTGCAAACATCCACTAAAGTAGTGCCTGGTAAAACTGACTCTTAGAGACCCATTTTCCATACTAAATAATTATTTTCAAAAAGTTTTTCCCTTTCTGTCTTTTAAAAAAAGGGAGATCACATTCACAGACCATAACATTCACTCTTTGAAACAATTCAGTGGCTTTATTATATTCACAAGATTTTATCAATAAAATCATCATTAGCTAATACCAGAACATTTCAGTCAGCAAAAGGAAACTCTGTACTTAGCAGCAATCACTCCTCATTCCCTCTGTACTTTTCTAATTGAAAATTTTCTAATTTCTCCTCTTACATCTTCTAAATTGTACAAAATACCCCGTGGACAGGGGGTGCTAGGATATAGCAAATATGTTTAAATCTTATTTAATCCACCTACTAAATATATGATTTTTAGACAGTTTATTTGTCCTTTTTTCTCAATTTCATTTGCAAACTGGACAGAATCTCATTATACTGGTCATCAACTTCATCATAAGAAATAGAATTTTATGGAAGATTTACCATTAGCAGTGGCTAGCTGAAAAGCCAGATCAAGGCCTCCTCTTATTCTGAAGAGTATATCCATAGTTTCTGAAATCACCTAGAACAAATAAAACCCCAAATTCCTTTGTTAAAACAAAACGAACTCATCCTCATATAAATTAGAATCTGAGTTTAGGGTAGGTCATTAGTTAAGCCTAATTCTTGAAATTATTTCATGAGTTAATTTCTTGTTTTATGAAGAAAAACAAAAACAAAACAAAAATCCCAGATTCTAAGTCAGGAGTTGCATACTGAAATCACCTGGCAGGGCGTAAACTGATGACCTCAACAGTACCCCCCGAGATTCTTATTAATCAGTTTAAAGTGGGCCTAGGCACATGGATATTCGAAAAGTTACCCTCTGTCCCCATGCCAATGATTCTCATGTGAAAAAGACTGAGACCCACTGCCTTAAGACTGTATTTCTAACTTATAGTCTCCATGAGTTTAAAGATGACATGAAAACATCAATATCATACCGTTGTGAAAAATAATGTTTTGCAGGCTAGCCTGTGGTGTAGTGGTTAAGGCGGTTGAATCCCACATGGCCAACTTTGTGGTTCGAGTTCTGAACTAGATAGCTTGAAGAACACACCAGGTACATGAGCACGCATGCCTAAAATCCTGAAAGGAGGACAGATAGCGGAGAAGGGATAGCAACGTGACCGTGCCCCATGAGGGTTGCTTTCTCACTTTCTCTCTCTTGCTCTTTCTCTCTTTCTTCAGTGAGTGAATATATCCTCTAACAAAACTAGAAAAATAAAAGAAAGATCATGTTTTAGAACTGGCATAGGCCAGTTCTATAACTTATAAGGAGAGAAAAGCGCTTACAAAGTGCAGTTCTTAATTTGGGACCGCATGCTGAATATCAGGTAGTCAATGATAAATAACAAATGATGTGCATCATTGTGGGAGAGGAAGGGTGGGAGGAATTTCTTTTGGGGCGAGGTTTTGAAGATTTCAGTAGGTTTCAAAATACATGCCAAACAAGGGCCAGCAGGTGGTGTGGTGGTTAAGGCGCTGGACTCCCACGTGGCTGACCGCAGGTTGAGTACCAGGCCTGGGGACCTGCTGTCTCACTTTTCCTCTCTCTCTCTGGGTCTCTCATGTCCCAATCCCTTCTCCATTTCTCTACCCTGTCAGGATCCACAGATGCATGCCCTTGCACCTGATATGTTTTCCAAGCCTCTTGGGCTGAGATTTGAATAGCTGTTGGCCATATGAGATCTGGCCCCCTTAACCACAAGGCTCTGAGACTGACCCAAGAGCAAATTTTAACTCCGTTACTTACTACATAATTTTGCACAGTTTAACTAGTCACTCGATCTGTTTCTCTTCTGTAATACTGGAAAAATATAACACTTTCCAGGGTTATTGGAAAGAGTCTATGAGATTACGTATGAAGACACTAGAGCCTTGCCAGACTTCTGAACTAAGATCTTTTCCAAAGAAATAATGTTAAGCTGAGATGAGAATGGTATTAGGTATGAGTATGACAAATCTCCAAGGATGACCAGCAGCCATGTGCCATACTGGAGCCATATGGGAGGCCTGGGTTTTGATTCCAAGTGGACCTGGAAGTGAAAGGTGTTCTGTGACCCTTAGCTGACTGGGAAGCTGAGAGGCTTGGGGATGATTGAGACATAGGAAGACCCTGTCAGGGGCATGGGTGTCTGTCTTTTTCTCTCTCATGAAAGGAAAAAAAAAAAAAAGAATAAACTTTAAAAACAAATCCAAAGGAAGACAAGGGTTGGAGGTGGAATAGGCCTTTCTAGACTGGGGAACAGACTGGGGAAGGCCTGCTTATACGACCACTGCAGATGCTTATAGGTGAGGGTGGGAAGAATGGAGAGGGTGACAACTGACATCTAAAAGGAGACTGGAGTTGAAAAGAGATTTCCAGGTTTTGGGAGGGCACAACAGAGTGGATGGTGTTGCTACTTACAGAGAGGGGGATGCCTGGAGGGAGAACAGGTAGCCGAGGGCAAGTGGAAAGGATGAGTTTTTGTTTTTGTTTTTTTGAGAAGTTTGCTATAGGGTGCATGCACTCACTTGGCCAGGAGTTAAAGCCACCGGGTACGGGACTTGAACTTCGGATGACTACATGGGAGTCCAGCGACATAGCCATTATGCCAACTGCTGGTCCCAGAAAGGATGAGTTTTGAACTTGCTGGGTTTGCAGTATACACATGAGGTATCCAAGTGTAGGTACAGGTAGCAGATTTGTGGATGTGGAGCCCAGAAGAATGGCCCAAGCTGAAGATACAAATAGGCGGGAAAGCACAGACCTGAAGAACACCGACATCTAGGAAAGGGCCTGGAGGACATGGCCGACCAATGAGAATCAGGAGAGTGACATCACGGAAGCTAAGGGGCCAGAACGCTCAATCAAGTCATAGCTTTCGTTCAGATCCGCCTTCAAAGCCTCGAAAATCATCGAACAATCCCAAGGTCTCAAAATGCATTCACAGGGAGGGGCAGAGGGCGCGGGTCCAAACGCGGCGCAGGCGAGGGGAGAACGGTTGAGGGATCAGTTTCCCTCCGGTCCCCGGCGGAGAGAGGGCCAGGGGCGTTGACTCGACACGGAGCTCGCGGCTGCAGCTGCACGGCTGGGCCGGGCAGGTCCGGCTCTTTTCAGGGTCTGTGGAGTCGTACTCCGAGCTGCCAATCAAGCCCCGGGGGAACGCAGGTGGATGACGAGCCAGGTACTTACCATGTCCGCAACGTAGGGGTGACAAGCCACTGACGACAGCCCACGAACTCCGGGGCCGGCCCGGAAGTGACGTCAGAGGAGTGGAGGGGCGGGGCCTGGGAGGACAGGGGCGGGGCTAGGGCGGGCCGACCACAACTCCCCGGGGCTCAGCAGTATACGCCACGGAACGCATCCCTTACACTAGGTCACCCAGTGACCGAGGGGTGGAAGGCAGAAGACCTTACCATCAACTCTGTCGGCTGCGTGTTCTGTATCCTATAGACGCTCTTTGTGTTGGTCGATGAGGATCGACTCTCCTCGCGTTCCCCCGTAGCGTGCTGGGCTTCCATTCTGCCGTTGCCAGGGTGACGCGTCACAATAAGCACCTGCTGTGCCCAGAACCTGCCCTGGTGCTGAGCGCAGGCTGGTCCCCGCGCGGGACGCGCTCGCTCCCAGGCGGCCCGGAGCCAGTGGCTTCCGCAGCCACGTTCACCAGGACTGGATCCCGACTGCCTGATCTCGGCCGTCAGATCGGGTGTCCTCGGAGGTGTGACTTGGTCCTCGTGGACACCAGGTGTTGCCTTTTAGATAGGTTCTGCTCGGAGCCTCTGTTTCTCTAATGGGAAAGAACTTTCCTGTCGCCTCCACCAGAAATGTTTTGTCTGTCCTTCGCCATCCCTCCCCCAAACACTTTATCCACACTTTTGGAACGGGACTTGCCATATTCCACTTTTTCTCCTTTCTTGGTTAACAGGTTGTAAGCTTCCTGGGTGCAGGGTCTATGCCTTTTAAAATTTATTTTCCTGGCCTCGACTAGCGAACCTTGCCTGGAGGAGAGGTTTGCAAAGTGTCCAAGGAAACAACCAAGGCTCTGTGGAAAGTAAAACGCTTTAGTCCAAACAGGAAATTTGTGTGTGTGTGTGTGTGTGTGTGTGTGTGTGTGTGTGTGTGTGTGTGTGTTGGGGGATGTCTGCTGGTAAGTGCGTCAGGGTCAACAGAAAAGAACCCTTGAGTTTAACTTTCACAGGGATAAGAAGGTTTTACTCTATCATATAATACTACGCCAGGGACAGAACGTAGAGAGCATCCCACTGGACCTAGTTAAGATCTGTAGCTGTGATAACCCCCTCAGGCCCCTTGGAAAGTACTTAGAATAGGAAGAGTAGGGGGCCAGCAGCTGGTATGACGGTTAAGGGCGCTAGACTCCCACATGACCGACTGCAGTTCAAGTCCCAGACCTGGCAGCTTGCTTTCTCACTCTCTCTCTCTCTCTCTCTCTCTCTCTCGCTCTCGCTCTCGCTCTGTCCCTCTCTGGTAAAACTTAAATAAATAAATGAATAAGTAAAGTTAAATAAAAGTAATTTTTTAAAAAAAGAACAGGAAGAGTAGTCAGAAGCCTGCTGTAAATGTGTCTGCCTTATGTAGTTCCAATTTTAAAATCTGCCTTGAACTTCTCAAAGGAAGGATGTTATTTACACAATATTTATACTATTCTGTGCATTCATCTGTCATTTCATATCAAGTCAGTGCAACAGATGATACCATACTTGTTCCCTGTGGTTTGTGGGCACTTCACAGCAAGTGTGTTCAAGGGCAGTGTCATAGTGATCATTTGGAACCCCAGCATTCTCCTCAGCTGCCTAAGGAGATTCTTCCCGCGCATCATTTGGAACTATTGTTTCATAACTATTGCTTTTTTTAAACTATTGTTTTTACAGTGAATGTTGAAATTCTAAGACTGAAGTAATTTGGACTAAATTTAGTAGTCACTTTTCCCCTAAAAATTTCCACTGTATTTTTCAACATAAAGTAGAATTTTGCTACAAAAGAAGTAGCCGTGAAGAACCTTTTGAAGTCACCAATATAGAGACTGACGTAAGACGCAGACATGCCTGCAGAAGGAGGAAAAACGGATATGGAGAGGATTGGCCTCTTCAGCGAGATGGAATATATTACTGTTGGTGATAAATATGTATCACAATTTAATCGTAAGTATAATTGGTTTTCTCTACAACTAAGTAGATATTTTCTATATGAAATTTTAACTGTAATATTTCACTTAAATGTTATTTATATTAGTCTATATTTTAAAGCATTTAGTTTGAAAGATGATTAACTTGTAAAATTTCAATAAAGTTAAAAGAATTTAATTTGATAAAAACATATATGAAAATATTTACTTGAACATGCCTAAATATACTCTGGAACACAAAATTAATATTATTGCCTATGGACCAGCAGTTGGCATAATGGCTATGTAGCTGGACTCCCATGTAGTCGATAGTGGTTTGAGTCCTGGACTTGGTGGCTTAAACTCACGCCGGACACGTGTTCCTCTGTGTCCAAGATCCTGAGAGGAGAACTGAATGAACAGGTATGGGAGAAGATTCTCCTCTTGGGATCTTGGGTACATGTGCGCACTTGCCTGGCGAGAGTTTTAAGCCGCTGTGTCTGGGACTTGAACTGTGGTCAACTACATGGGAGGCCAGTGACATAACCATTGTGGTATCTGTTGGTCCCTGTAAGAGAATTTTAAAAGCTGTACTGTTGATAGACATTTGGGCAATTTCTTGCTTTTGTTTATTGTGAATGAAACCACTATGAACATTCTTACATTCATGCCTTGTAGTGGACATAGGTATTCATGTGAGTATAAGCCTAGTAGGGGGAGACCAGCAGTTAGTATAATGGCTATGTTGCTCGACTCCCATGTAGTCGACTGCGGTTCAAGTCCTGGACCCAGTGGCTTAAACTCACGCCAGGCACATGTGCGTGCATACCCAAGATCCCGAGAGGAGAATGGAGGAGGAGGGATTGTGGTGTGGCTATCCCCCCCTGGGTGGTGATTTCTCGCTTTCTTCTCTTTGTCTCTTTGGCCCGCCCTATAACAAAGACCTCTCAAAAAAAAAAAAAAAAAAAAAAAACCAAAAAAAAAAAAAACTAGAAAGGGAATTGCTTCAATCTAAGTATGAAACATCCTTCTTTTCAACCCATGCTCGTATTTTTAAAGACATTTTGCACAATATTTTCTAGTATACCAATGGAAAAACATTGGATTAAATTACCTTTAAGGTTTCTTCCAGTTCTAAAATCCAGAGTGTATAACTAGGACCTTAACCTTAATGTTAAATGTGTTAAAAAATATCTCAGGTCTGGAGCCAGCAGGTGGCATGGTGGTAAAGGTGCTGGACTCCCACATGACGCAAACTGTGGTTTGAGTCCTATACCTGACAGCTTGAAAATCACCCTGCCCAAAATGCATGCATGTGTGCATGCCCAAAATCCCAAGAGGAGAATGGAGGAGAAGGAATTGTGGCGTGCTCATTGCCCTTGTGGCATGATTTCTTGAGTCCCTTCTCACTGTTTCTCTCTGACCAGCACATGTGCTCGTTGGCTAAAACCTAAAACAAAACAAAAACAAAAACAAAACTCAGGTCTCATTGCCAACGTAACTTTTAGCACAATTTTCAGAGAATATTTGAATAGTGCTTTAGCACTCAAAACTCATAATTGGCCCATACATTTGGAAACTTTTCTAAATTATTTTTTATACGCTTTTAATTACAGAGAACTCAAAATTATAATATACCCAATTTATTTTTTAAAGGACCTTTTAATGAAGCAGCAAGCAAAAACAGACAGATGTTACCTGGGGGATCCAAAGAAATGTCAAATCTTCAGGCAGGTTATTTTGACCCCCATTTTACAAGGGTGTTTGAAGGTGAAGGCTACGTAAGTTTGAATCAAGTTCGGAGACGGTACATGATGGATGAAGCCAAAAAAAATCTAGGCAAAGCCTTCCTCCCTAGCAGTGGAGAAAAAAAACCGTAAGTGTTTGGGGCCAAGATCTTAACTATTAGATCTCCTGTCCTTTTTCTGTGACGCTTACAATAACTGTTTGGTTTTTCTGTAAGATTTACTTAAGTAAGGTTCATTTAAAAACATGATCCTTAGGTTAATTTTTCTTAGGTGGAAATGGTTATATTGAATAACTTGTAATGACAGGTAATTTTGTGTAAGTATAGTCTCATAGTCATGTTAAATTTTGGATTACCTATGTCGCGGTCCTCTATTAATTATATAATAAAAGCCAACTAGAAAATGAAAATAAATTTATTAAAAAACTTTGGGGAAATAAATGCCTTAGGTCACCATGTCTATGCCCTTGACTATATTTTCTGATTTTTAAAACATTAAGAGTATAAATTAAATTTAAAATTAGGGGATGCTTTTTTTTTTTTAATAAAATTGCTGATCAAACACGTGTTATTTAAAAATCACTGTGGGGACCAACAGTTGGCATAATGGCTGTGTAGCTGGACTCCCATGTAGTCGATAGTGGTTTGAGTCCTGGACTTGGTGGCTTAAACTCACGCCAGACACGTGTTCCTCTGTGCCCAAGATCCTGAGAGGAGAATGGAGGAGAAGGGATTGCGGAGTGGCCATCCCCCTGAGGCTGTGTGTGTGTGATTTCTCGCTTTCTGTCTCTCTGTCTCTGTCTTTCTGGCAAGTGCACACGCCCTATACAAAAACCTCTCAAAAAAAAAATCATTGTGAAAATACATTCAAAGGGTTTAATAGTATTTTAGCTGTGATAATTGTCGATGTATAGATTCTTTTCATATCTTGAAATGATTAATTTAACAAGTAAGACCATGTAGTATATAAAGCTGAGATTTAAAATATGGAGTTCATTAACTCTTTTTTTTTTTTTGAGAGGTTTTTGCTATAGGGCGTGTATATATCTCATAAAATCCTAAAATACACTCACCAGAGAGACAGACAGAAGGAGACAGAGAGACAGAAAGCGAGAAATCCCCCCCCAGGGGGGATGGCCACACCACAATCCCTTCTCCTCCGTTCTCTCGGGATCTTGGGCATGCATGCACACACGCCCGGCATGAGTTCTAAGTCACTGGGTCCAGGATGCAAACCGCGGTCGACTACATGGGAGTCCAGCAACATAGCCATTACACTAACTGCTGGTCTCGCGAGTTCATTAACTCTTGATAGCTATGACTGACTTCATTTAGAATTCATGGTAGATGAGGATTGATTAAAGTCTAATTTTGGTTTATTTGCTATATTTTCTTTAGACTAATAAAACAAAATTTCTATAATTCAGACTACCTTCTAATTATTTTTAAATAATTATTTTGTTTACTGTTATTTATTTTAATTTGATCAGAGAGGTACAGAGAGAGAGAGAGAGAGAGAGAGAGAGTGAATGAGGAAGCAAGCTGCTAGGTGTGGGACTCGAACTGTGAGTGACCATGTGGAAGTCCAGAGCCCTTAACCACCACACCACCTGCTGGCCCCTTACTGTCCTAATTCTAATAGGAACTCTTTAGTTCGCAGCCAAAGCTATTGGTTTTATTAAGAGTGATAATTTCTTTTCTTTTTCGTTATGATTTCAGCTTTTGCCATCTTTCCATACTTGAATAAATTTGAATTTATTTTTAATATTATTACTATTTCTTGGACTTCCTCATTTTCTCTATAAACATAAATTCAAAAATTTTCTTTCTATTATTTTTGTTACTACTTCATTCCTTTTTCATGCAATGTGTATAGTTTTCCCTTTAAATAACTCTTTTCCTATTTTTCAGTCTGCTCACCTGTTCTATGATGAACTCTGATCCATGCAGTAACAGTCGGAAATTCCTGCCTTGACACCTCAGTTTATAATATGCTTATATTCATCAGCTAAGACATCTATAATAATGGTTTTGTAATCAGACAAGCTTTTCTTTCTTCTTAAAAAGTCACAGATAAATGACAAACACCTGTAATTTAAGGGATACAGAGAGCATTTCCAAGGATTGGTGCTCTAAGTAAGAGGCCCTTATATGAGTACTTAGTTTACACTAAATTATGGAACCTCAGGCATTTAGAAAAGTTCTAAATGTAGTGACTTTTAAAGCTTGTATTAAATCATGATCTAGTTAAATTATCATTGTGCATAATTATCTTTTTCTCTGTCCTATTATTGATTTATTTTTTATTGTATTTCAGAATTTTATGAGATATATACATATATATAGGGATTAATAAAAAATGAATATCCTCTCCCACTATTTATAGGCTGGCAATAACAAATAATATTTTTAGCTTTCTAATTTTTAAAATTTTTACTCAAAAGAGTGTCCAGTTTTGCTAGGAAGGCTTTATTTGTCTTATAGACCATTTTCTCATTAAAACTTGTTTACTCCAATGATAACTTGGAAATGAGAGACTCTGACTTTTACTAACATTGGTTATTCTTTTTATTGTGAAAATTTTAAAGAAAACATTTGTTAAAGAAACTGTTGGATAATAGTTTAACAATCACATATGTACTGTGTACCCAGAAAATTAAACATTAAAATTGAAGAAAAATATTTGATTAATTTTTCTGTTAGCTGATTTTTTGAAAAGTACTTAGAAATTTATCTAACAGCACCAAAGGGTCTGTCTAGTATTACAGTTAACTGACTTAATGGCAACTAATATGTCTTCCCCCAAATTATAATTTTTTTTTTTTGGAGAAGTTTTTGTTATAGGGTGCGTGTGCTCGCCAGACAGACAGAGAGACAGAAAGCGAGAAATCACCCCCAGAGGGGATGGCCACCCGCAATCCGTTCTCCTTCATTCTCCTCTCGGGATCTTGGGCACTCATGCACACGCACCTGGAGTGAGTTTTAAGCCACCGGGTCCGGGGTGCAAACCGCTGTCGACTACGTGGGAGTCCGGCGACATAGCCATTACGCTAACTGCTGATCCCCCAAATTATAAAATTTTGGAGCTATGAAAATATGTGGAACATTTACAATAAGCACAAACACATTAAACACCTAGTATCTTACCTCAAAATTTGTGACTTTATTTTTTTTAGGTTTTTGCCATAGGACACATGCACTTGTTGGATAGAAACAGAGACAGAGAGAGGGAAAGAAAGAAACCATGCCACAGAGGGGATGGCCATGCCACAGTCCCTTCTCCTCTCAGGATTTTGGCCATGCATGCAAATGTGCCCAGCATGATTTTCTAGCCACTGTGTCTGAGACTTGAACTGTGGTTGTCCATGCAGGAGTCCAGCACCTTAACCACTACCCCAACTGCTAGACC